ATAAAAGGACCCATAAAGCCCAGCATTTCGATTGTACCATCAACCGTCTACATTAGATGTTGGTACCACCGAAATATGCCATCGACCGTCGCCAAAAGTCTCAACGGCAGGAACTGCCCGAGATGTCTCCGATCCTGCTGCTCTCGCTGGCTGCAACGACCAGTGCCGCATGGGTGGAGGACACGTTCTTCACCAACAACGCACCAAGTTGGAGGCAGAGGGCTGGCAAATTGTGTTTCAGAGTTATGTTGAAGGCTGTGACCCCATGCGTTTCTTTTCCTTATGTTAATGCGGAAGCTTTGGTGGGGTTGAAGCTGTTTAAACCAAAGGGTGTAGATCGGACATTTTAGGGAATGTATGTTTTCGTTGATATACTTTTTGCATTTCCATGTTTCAATAACGGACCAGTGTGTGGGTGTCAGACCAGTCTTTATGCATGCTCGTCCATGGTGCTTCGGTGCGGCACCAGGAAGTTTGCGATGACCACTGACGGCTCCACCATCGTTGGTGCAGGGCACATGTCTGCTTGGGTCAGCACAGACAACGGAGCCAGCTGGGTCAAGCGTATGATTGATGGTAAGTGGGACTCCCGGAGCTCGATTTCTGGCTGGGGGGGTCGCGCGGGTAGCGCTTGTGACTTGGGTGCTTCACCAAACCACCCAGCTGGGACCTCGAAGCACCAGGCAGCAGGGCTCCGACTCCCAAGGGCGGGCCAGACAAGTCTAAAGGGAGCCTGAGTGTCTGTGAAAGAATCTACCAGAGTTACGTGGAGTGAGCGAACACTACCTGTTTGATCCTGTATTACGGATTGAACTTGGATCTCATGGGAAAATCCGAAGATCGTCGCAGGGCCTTTTTGATCCGTGCCATCCACTTCCTTTTCTTATTTCAGGGCACCGTAGATCGATCGATGCTCTCAGAGATTCCACCGTTCGCACTGTGCGAAAACGCTGGGGTCGGAGGTCGGGAGGTGGGGGGAGGCAGAGGAAATGCTTTCATTGATCATACAATTTCCTAAAAACCTTCAGCCCAAACAAATCCAGATACCCGAGGAAGGCGTTGGCATTTCAGCTGATGGCTCTAAAATGGTGATGGGTGGAATTGAGATCAACATGTTCAAGAGCGACGGTGGGGGCAACTTCCAAACGGGCTGGAATGACGCTCAGCTTTCCAGCGCCACCTCCCAAAAGCTGCGTGACCTCGCCATGTCCTCCGATGGCAACATCATTGTCACTGGTCCTGACATGGTACGACGGCCTTTTTGGATACTGTTTGCTTCTCTAAAGCTTCGGGTGCAACATTTGCAGGGTGAGCACGGCAACAGTTACTTTGTTCACTACCTCTCAGTTACTTTGTTCACGACTTTTTCACCGCACGCACCAAACCACCCTCTTCTTCGTTTCACCCGTCCAAGACAGACGTCCTGCCGTGACAGGTCTCCGCCGGTGACACTAGTGATGTGGATGCACAGACCTGGACACAGGGCAGCTTCCGAAGCACCGATTTTGGCGCCACCTGGAACCAGATCTCGACCACTCCCATGACGGGCATCGCCATGTCGGCCAATGGTAACGTGATCGCGGCAGTGACCCCAACCAGCAACGCAGGGGTGCTGGTCAGCACGGACGGAGGTGGGGAGAATGAGGGCCTGGGCCGCCTGGGCCTGGGCCTGTTGGGTGTCTGACTGTTTTTTCCGTTCAGTGCCTGGTTGAAAGCAAAGCACCTTCTATATCCTTCTATGTTATCCTTTTGGTACAACAGCATTAGCATTCGCTGCGCGGGTACTACTTTTTCCACTCGCAGACGAAGACGAATTCCGCGCAGACGACTTACCCCGAAGACGAATTTGCCCCCCCGGAAGAGGAATTCCGATGACGAATTCAAAAAGGGGTCATATATAGAGTTAGAGTCCCTTAAGAGGAGTTGAGTTGTCCTTGAGGAAAATAATCCGCAGCTTGTGCAAGACAGTTTACCTTTTGCGAGGGTATAGCCTTGTTTGCCCCTAACCGCTTCCCTCAAATGCGGATGCTTGGTGCCCCATGCTCATCAATGTGTCGTCGGAATGTGTCGTCACCAGGAAATGTGTCGTCAACGTCGTTAAGGAACGTGTCGCCACAATTCGTTTTCACCAGGTGATGTGTCGTCAGGGGCGCATGCGTCGCCAAGGAAGGTGTCGTCGCAATGCGTCGTCACAGTTTACAATGTGTCGCGGGAATGCGTCGTCAGCGTCACCGCCAAAATCATATACTGTACAACAGACTTCGAGAAGTCAATCGGATGGATAGCAAGAAATTCCACCAGAGGATCGATAGTAGGATCGAAGACCAGACTCTGTCTTCGACCGTGGGAGTCTGGTCTCCAGGTACCACTTGGGCCACCAACACGCCTTCGGAATCCACGACCTTGACCGCCATTGCCATGTCGTCCGACGGTTCGATCATGGCGGCAACTGGTTATGGCAACAACGGCGGCATTTGGACCAGCACTGACACTGGCTCCACTTGGACACATGTTCCTGGGTTGCTTTTTGGATCCTTTTGAGACTGGAGTGATACTGTCATGGGAAAATTGGAGATTGGATCATATGTTTTTTGAACACCAGTATATAATCCTTTACTGCAACGCATCATAACGCATCTCTGTATTTTGGTTTTGAGGGAATGTATCAGCTGAGGGGCCTAGCGGGCCTGGCGGCCAAAAGAGTCTTTGATGTTTCGGGGCTTGCGATGCTTAGTGATGCGTGATGCTTGTTGACAGGTGTGAGAGGGATTTCCATCACCATACAATAAATTAGAATAAATCACCACCCAATGGCCACCTGACTAGTCGGGGCTGGACGGTCTATATGTTGTACCCAGACGCTCCAAACAGCCCCTGGTCCCTCAAAACCTAGGAATTTGAGACCCCAGACCCCTCCATATGAGG